CTTTATGGATCAACATTCAGTAACAAGGTAAAGGAAAGTCTATCTTGGTGCTTTTTAACATTAATGGAGAAGCTTGCGGTTAGAGATTCATCTTCATCCAGCAAAAAGATGGAAGAAATATGTGTTGATGGTGCCTTTTTATTTATTTATGAAGAATATGTGTTGAGGGTGCTTGGGTGCTCCCTCAAACTCCTTTCAATCAGTTGGATATGTGATCATGGAAGTGTTTTAGAATCGCTGTCCTTGACAATGTCTATCTGTGTCGTAAGATGAGCATAAGATGTAAACTTTTGCTATGATGTTCTGAATGTGCTCTGGAGAATAGAGGTGAAACTGGCCAAGGCTAGATGAAAAGGATGGGAGTTTAAGCCTTGCTGGAGCACAGGTGAATCAGTAAACAAGAAAAGCATCAGAAGCAATCAAATGATATGCCAAACACAGAGGTATAAATGTACTCTTGTTGTTTATTATTATTATTTTGGCACATTGAATTCAAGTAGTACATCATCATGTCCTTCATTTGCAATGTTTCTTGATCCAGTTGTCATATGTATGTGTGTGCATAATATTAAACATTATCAGTTATGTGTCATTGAATCCTCTGACAAAGCTGTTTTTAAGCAAGTAAATGAAGTGGACCAGCTGAAGACTAATCTGGAATCAGTCCCAACTACTAATGGCTACTACCGATGGATTTTCAAAATATCTTTCTCCCATAGTATTTCTGTATATGCAGCACTCTGGGCTTTATAAGAAAGAGAACTTGTAAGGTTTTGTATTTATGTGTATAAAGGCTAAATAGGACATGTTTGATGAGTATTCAATATCTGAATTTAGAACGATTTGCATTAGATGAAAGATGAGACTTTTATAAAAAAAAAACAAGCTTCCTCTTCAATCACTGCACCATTCTGAGTTTTCACCTTAAACCAGTTTCTGTAATGATCATCTGTTCCCGTGCAATTAATGATTTTAGAGTTTATTTTATTTATGACATATGCTGCTTGATGTTGAACACATGTTTTGCTTCGCCTGGAAGCACACTATTGGAATTTTTTTTGATTGTAATACACACTATTGGAAATTGAAAAGCTACTAGAAGCGCACTATAGGAAATTGTAAAGCTATTTTCGGTTTCTATATTAGGAAATATGCAAGTCCTTCGATCTTCTTATACTTATTCGATATATATTCTGTTATGGAATTGAACGATTCCTGTGGGCTGATGTTCCTTCACGAAGTAATTTTCCAATCCTAAATTTGGAGTTATGAAATGAAACATTGGTACTATATGGAACTATAATTTTCAGTGCAAGCAAGGCAATTGAAGAAGTAATAGGAAATGGGTAGTATCTGTAATCTTCTTCTGTTATTGGGAGTTTTACTACTTTCCGTCTTTGTCATGTATGATGTGCCATGTTTATTTGATGTATTGTTACTGCTGTTGATATCTTCTTGGTTATATCAAGGGAAAAAAAGACGAAAAACTATCTACTTGGTTATTTTAACCAAGAGCAGAGCTGATCATTATTTTACTGTCTGCATTATGCATAATAAATCATTTTTTTTCCATGCAGAATAGCCTCTGGACTAATTAAAGATTGACAAGAAGGTGTGGATTTACTGCAAGGTAGAAGGTCATGGAAAGAAACCTCCTTGTATCAGATATTAGGGCTTGCATATAATCGCCAATGACGGTGAGAACCTCGATTCTCGTCAGTCTTAACAACTTGATGCATGGTATTGTATTATTGTATGTAGTGCTCTGTTCTCTAGGCTTAGACTTGACTATTTGGAGCTTTGGCTAATAAGAAGAGAAGGTTGAAATTTGTGCTGGTCTGGGCTTCTGTCATTTGTCGTCTCCATTGAGCTTGAAGTTGACTCCTCGTCAGCATTAAGCATCCACAGACAAAGGGGGTATGTTAATGAGGATGTGGCTATATGTATTACATGACAAATTCTGATTGTTAGGAATGGAATTTCTTCTTGTATGTTACTAGGATTTTATGAGATGAAGTAACTCTCTCCTAGATGAAAGTATGAAACCAATGTCAATGTTTCATGCATTTATTTTAGCAGCATTGGGACTTCAAAGAGCTACATTAATGTTCCTAGTGATCAAGGTGTAAAGTTGTGACACTTCTGTTCAAACCCTGGACTAAAATATAGCCCTCCTGCAATGTATGACTTAGTTATAAAGTTGAACATTTGTTTAGTCAATTTTCATTATTATGAATTTCTGAATAATGAAAAGTCACTTCTTGAATCACCGAATATTCCTATTTTCCATTATACCAACCAATCCATTCGAAAGGTTAGAAATCAACAAAAGAAAAAGTAAGTGGACCTGACCTACAAGTTTATATAAATAGGCAAGGTAGATGTTTTAGGCTAAGCTTTAGGCACTTGCTATCAGCTTGACAATTGTCTGATTAGGTTTCAATATTTAATTGAGGTCATGTTTTGTAATGAAAGTGCTCCAGATCGGCTAAATCAACACACACGAAGAGTTTTGGATGCTTATTTTGCTACTCCATCTGTATGACTGAAAAAACATGGCTCTCCAGTTTGTGCCCTTTGACAAGAAAAAGGGAGAGTATTTGCTAGGTTCTGATTGGTAGGTATAAAGTCGTGTTTCTTATTGGCAATGTAAATGAACCTTTCAGATGAGCTTCATTAATCTTCAAGTTTTGAATTTCTTCTTGAGTGCTATGTGGAAAGACATCATATGTCAAGTTTTATGAAGATGGCAACTTTCAGAAGGTTTGAATAGTTCCAAACCCATGACTTTCTTTCAGCAGTGAGCTTATGAATTTAAGCTAGATAATGCTTTCCTTGTGCGGACAGAGAAGGTTCCGAATTTAACTGTTTCCAGAAGATTATGGCATCAGATGTAATTTGATGTGTCTTTCTGCATGATCATTCTAGGAGGGACTAGGGAGTAGCATCAACTTGGCTAAAATCTGATATTTAGTTGAACGAATGATGCCATTGGTCCAGAATTTCATAATTGTGGTGGTTCTTTGTTTCTGTCAAAAACCAAAATTTGAGGAATGAATAATAATGAAAGGAGTGGTATTGTTGATGTAGGTGCGATGTATGTAATTTGGTATGTGCAGGTTAAGTAGGAAGCAGAAGCATCTGATTTTAGGCTGGAAGAGTATGTAGTGACAAGTGACATCTGGAATCCAAAATTATTTATGTCCGTTGGCACATTGCATGCATATATGGAGGAATCAAAATCATTGGCAATGTCGCAACAAAAATAAGACGTTTCTTGGTTTTTTGGCTTATAGATCCACTATACCAAAAATAGTGGGGGAAGTGCACAGATAACCACTTATTAGAGATGTCTTTATTTTTTAGTCACTGTTTTAAATGTATTTACTCTTTAGCCAGCGCTTAATAAATTTTTACCCGCCGGACAAAACTACCCCTGTGCTAGACATAGGTGGTGTAAATATTAAGGACATGGTGTCCTTAACTTCATGAATGTTGTGTAAATATTTAGGACAAAGTGTCATGTATTTGCACCTTCTGCTGCTAAACTTTAGGACATCATGTCCTTAACTTCATATGTGCAGTGTAAATGTTAAGGACATGGTGTCCTTAACTTCATGTGTGCAATGTAAATGTTAAAGACATAATGTCCTTTAACTTGTATTTGCACCTCCTGTTGTTAAATTTTAGGACATCATGTCCTTAACTTCACATGTGCAGTGTAAATGTTAAGGACGTTTTGTCCTTAACTTCATGAGTGATGTGTAAATATTAAGGACAAAATGTCCTATATTTGCACATTCTGCTGATAAACTTAAGGACATGGTGTCCTTAACTTCATATGTGCAGTGTAAATGTTAAGGACATGGTGTCCTTAACTTCATGTGTGTAATGTAAATGTTAAGGACATAATATCATTAACTTGTATTTGCAACTTCTGTTGTTAAACTTTAGGACATCATGTCCTTAACTTCATATGTATAGTGTAAATGTTAAGGACATGGTGTCCTTAACTTCATGTGTGCAATGTAAATGTTAAAGACATAGTGTCCTTAACTTCATGAGTGATGTGTAAATGTTAAGGACATAGTGTCCTTAACTTTATGAGTGATATGTAAATATTAAGGACATGGTATCCTTAACTTCATATGTGCTGTGTAAATGTTAAGGACATAATATCATTAACTTGTATTTGCAACTTCTGTTGTTAAATTTTAGGACATCATGTCCTTAACTTCATATATGCATTGTGAATGTTAAGGACATGGTGTCCTTAACTTCATGTGTGCAATGTAAATGTTAAGGACATAGTGTCCTTAACTTTATGAGTGATATGTAAATATTAAGGACATGGTATCCTTAACTTCATATGTGCTGTGTAAATGTTAAGGACATAATATCATTAACTTGTATTTGCAACTTCTGTTGTTAAATTTTAGGACATCATGTCCTTAACTTCATATATGCATTGTGAATGTTAAGGACATGGTGTCCTTAACTTCATGTGTGCAATGTAAATGTTAAGGACATAGTGTCCTTAATATTTTACACATCACTCGTGAAGTTAAGGACACCATGTCCTTAATATTTACACACCACTCATGAAGATAAGGTAAAAAAGACTTTTCGTATCAATTTTAATAGAGTAGTGATTATTTTTGTNCAGCCCAACCCCTGCACCTCCCCCAACAAGGAGGAAAAATGGAGAGGAAAATGATGATAGAATTTCAAGCTCTTCATCTTTTCCATTTCACTATGTGTTGTGGATGGTTAAGATCCGTAAGGATTTCAGGTTCGAGTCCTGGGGATAGAGAAGCTCCTATTAATAGGAAGCGGTTCCTCCTTAATGAGCTCTATGCGGCGCAAGTTCGAATTAATCAATCAAGTAAATTTTCAATAGCAAGTGATTGGAGGAGAGCTTTGGATCAACAGTAAAGTTATTTTCATGTGACTTATAGGTTACTGGTTCGAGCCATGGAAGCAATCACTAATACTTGCAGTAGAGTAGACTATCTATATTATATCCTTGGATTGCGGCTCTTCCCGAATCCTGCATGAATCTAGAATACTTTATGTATCAGACTACCCTATTAAAAGTGCTTTTTTTAGTTCTCTTGCGAAAGCCTCTTTCATTGAGGTGAGCTAAGGGATAGTGGTGGTACCTTTGGACCCTTTTTGCTTTGTCTTTTGTTGTCACCTTTCCATTTTCATAATTCTAGAGACTTGACATTAACAAATATGTACATTAATTGGATAATGGACACCCATTTTGCGAATTGTATAGAACTTCACTAAATATTTACTCATTTTGTTTCCCTGATTTGGGTTTGCCTTCGAACTTTATTGAGTTTTTTTGATGGATGTAAATTATAGAAAAATGATTAAACAACAAATATTCGCACTAAGCAAGGGAGGTTTTTCTTCATCAAATAAGTAATTAAGCATATCATTTGCATAATTAAATCATTATTAACGCCAGATACTCAATGCGATAAACAAGTGGGATAATGATATAGTATTTGTTTTTCCAAAAGGGTAGAGAACAGACAAATTCAAGGAAAAAGAAATGGAACTGGTGGAGAA